TGATTCTCCTGTTACCAAACATGAGTTTGATGAAAACTTTGTGACAATATTGAATTTAGTAGTTTTTGGAAGTATGATCCACCCGAGTGACAAGGCTGTTGTAGTTTCACCAGCAGATGTCACTAGTGAGTGATGAATGAAGCATCACTTTGCTTTTTGCAAAGCAACGGGTTGGAAAGATTCATTGCTTCATGAGGCTTCATTTGCCATCACTAGCGACAAGGATAAATTACAAGAAGCAACTTCAGAGAAAACACAGAGAGCTGCTACTCAGAGGGGCGCAGAGTACCATAACTGGCAAACATTCAGGCGTCGAAGTGCTGGCAGCCTGCTCCTCATATCACAGCGCACCTGTACATACATTTTTATACAAACCTGAGTCAGCGGCACGCCCTCCAAGGTGGCGCAGCCTCTAGGCACCATCTAGTGGATGAAAAGGGAAGCAGCAGATAACAGCAAAATCCCCACAAAGAGCCAAAACCTCAGTTTCACAACAATTTTAGAACTGAACTGGTAGATTTTAGAGCTTTATTGCTGGAGCTGTCGTTGGATTAACAGGCACAAATAAAACCTGACAATGATGATGGCTGGGGTCAGATCTCTGGGTGTTTTGACTTCCACCTTCAGTTGTTTTCTGTTTGTTTTCTCATCTCTTGCCATTTGTGTGTTATTTCAAGTGTTTCCAGAGTTTTTGGTTTGTTTGGTCAGAGCAGTGTTTATTGATACCGACTGTCCAGAATTTCTTCCCTCCTCTCATCCTTTGTGTTTCTGGTCCTTTCCATTCAGCTCCGTTCCCCAGCTGCACCTGCTTACCTGAACCCGGTCCTGCTGGATCTTCACTCCTCCGTCTGCAAATTTAAACTTCCTGGTATCTTTAATCTGGCTCCTTCTGCTGCAGGTTCCCAGCCCGTTCCAGGTGTAAATCAGAGCTTACTAACAAAAGGAGTAATCTCACCAGTATTTTTGCCATCAGTTGATGAAATCCCCATTGCCTCTTTGACACGGTCACTCCACTGTACGTCCTTCTCCTTCAAGTATTGGGAACGCAACTTCTCAATCTTTGTTCTTGCAAAGCAATGTCCTTCCATCACAGTCAGGTTGCATCTTTGAAAAGACAGGCAGAGTTGTGCCAGCTCACCTAAAACATCTCTCAGAGCAGTGAGAGTAACCTTGAACTTGTAATCACTCAGCTTTTTGTAGCAGTACTTTGCTACTGGATCTTTGTTATCAGTGAATTCTCTTTTGTAATATTCTTCAAACACAGTGTAGTTCCTCAGAACAGCATTCACAGCTTGGTGCCGCGACTGGCATCGCACTTGGTTCAGAGGCCTGAATGACAGTGTAGCTCAGGGCTGGGCAATCCTGGTCCTTGAGGGCCGGTGTCCTGCAACTCTTAGATGTCTCCCTTTTCCAACATACTTGAATCCAACAGCTGAATCACCTCCTAAGTGCAGTCAGGTTCTCCAGAGTGCTGCTAATGACCTCATTATTTGACTCAAGTGTGTTGAAGTAGAAATGCATCTAAAAGTTGCAGGAGACTGGCCCTCCAGGCCTGGAGTTGCCCACCCTTGGTGTAGCTTCATCAAGAATCCTTGCTAGATCCTCCATTTTGCCCCGCTTCACAACTGACCGGGAGAAAGTGGAATACACAATTCTATGGGTCACACAATGTTGTTCAGTTAGGTGTGGTATTTGGCGCTTTAAAAAAGCTGCAACTCCCTTGTGATTTCCCAGCATTACTGAAGCACCATCGCAGGTCAGCATCACCATTCTCTGGATGTCCAGTCCATGTTTGGAATAAAATGGAGTTATAGCCTCCAAAATATCCTGAGCAGTGTGTGCCGTCAGCTGGATAATGCCACCAAACAGTTTTATAGTTCACATCATTTCCCTCCCTGTATTTAATATATATGATTAACATTTTGGGTACTGTTATGTCTGTGCTCTCATCTACTATGAGGGCATGCCAGGGTGCATTTTTAACATTGTGCAGAATGAGACAATGTGCAATCTCATTGATTGAGTTCACAAATTCAAAAGCATAGTTTTTGCTTCGCCAGCTTTCTGGTATACTCACATACTTTGTGAGTATACAAATCATGGATTTGTTGAGCTGACAGCAATGATCCATTCATTTTGATGGCAAGTAAAAGATTATCAATGAGTACTTTAACTTGCTCAGGATCTGATTTTGTTTGTGTAGCAGTTCGTTCCTTTTCTCTCTGTCTTTTGTGCTCTCCTGCAATAATGTACCGATCCCTTTTCTCATCTTTAGTCTTCGTACAATTCCAACAGCATTCAAATGACTTTTCTGCTGAATGTGACATTTGAGGTAGCCAACTTCCATTCACTCCACATTCTTCCCTCTGAAAACTCGCTTGCTAATTTGGCTTCGCTGCATGTTTTGCAGAGCAAACCCTTCTCACTCAAAACAGAAAAAATTTCACCCAGTTTCACCACTTGTTCTTCTAATTGGACAAGCTCTGACAGCCATTCCATCTTAAAAGAAGCGCATTTCTGTTTTACTTTGGCTTGATGACTGGATGTCCCACTGCCAGTTCACTTAGCCATGATAGGGTGTTAGCTTTTGCGTCTCTTAACTCCGCCGCACTTTTCCTACCTAGCAAATCTGCACAGTGCCACAGCGCATATGGGCAAGGCACATACACACAATAGCATGCGATGATTGGCTGCGTAGCGAAAGTGAACGGCATCGTATCATTGGCTGGACACCAGTGACTCGCTGAGATAGACAGTTGTCATTGGTCCATAGTCAAAACTGATGTCTGAGCTAAATATATAGTTTACATTGGATCTTATTTTATGCACTGCATAGATTTTATTGTGCGCTGAGATTTTGCGTGCAGTGCGCGATTGAGCATGCGCGCAGCTTAGAGGAAACATTGCTGGTGGGCCCAGTCAGAGAACCTGATAAACAGCTAATCGTGCTTAGAAGGGGCACAGGCCGCTGGACTAATTCTGATGTCCTGGCCCCAAACACGTCAGCGAAGCCCGGATCCAGAGGGGTAACCGAGGGAAAACTCCGCTCCGTGAGCCCTTCCACCCTGGTGATAGGCGCATTAAGTGGAGACAGGCGCCCTCAGCTTCGCGGGCTCAGCCACTGCCTCAGTTATTCCTGACGCCATTCCTGTTCCTGACGAGGACGTCAGCTGTTCCTCCTGACGTCCTCATCACCGTCATCCTCTCTGCAGGTGGGATTATCCGATAAACGCTCAGCGTAGCTAGCATCTCCCACAAGCAGCGACCGGCACCCCGCCTGGCGCTAGCCTTGGAAAAGTCTAGCCTCCGCCTCCTCGAGGTCGGCGTGCTGGGGACCCAGGCATCCCTCGAAGATCCGGTGCCTGCCAAAGGTCATTATGTACCCCGTCTGAAATGACGGGCAAAACGGACCTTTGCTCTTAAACAGTGCTATCTCATGGTGAAGAAAAAGAGGGAGCCGTTTGTCCGGTCTGACCGTTATTTATACAGACCGGGATGGGGCCCACCCAGTAGGTGGGCGTGGACTAAGCTTTGTTCAGTGATGCGAGCGAGGGACAAACCAACTAGCGATAGCCTTAAAGGGCGAAGCCTATACGACATAGAACTGAACTTCTCTTAATTGGTACTAGATCAACACCAAGTAAACTTAATAACTCCTCCATTTTTCCTTCCCTTCAGGTTAAAAGTCTGGGTGTCACCTTGACAATACCCTCTCCTTTGCCTGCCATGTCACTAATATCACTGGGTCAGCTTACTTTCATCTCTGAAATATTCATCGTCTCTGTCCTTCCCTCACTCCTCTGCTGTTCTGGTCCACAGTCTGGTCCCTTCTCGTTTAGATTACACTAATTCTCTTCTCTTGATCTGCCACATATCATCACACTGACCCCTTCAATTCATCACATCACACCTTTTCTACAACAGCTTCATTGGCTTGGCATCTCATATTGCATCAACTATAAAATCCTTCTAACTTTCAAAGCAGTTCACAACCTAGACCCCTCTGCCCACCCCAGCCCCCCATGTCTGTTGGACCTCCTTCACATTGCTACACCCACCTGTCCCCTCAGATCCTCTTCTTCTGTTCATCTCTCTGTTCCCCCGTCTGTCTAGTCACTATGGAGAGCAGAGCATTCAGCCGCTCTGCTCCCAAACTCTGGATCTCACTCCCACCTGATCTCCGTAACATCGACTCTTTGCCACACTTCAAACTCAAAACCCATTTGTTTCAAATAGCTTGCAGTCTTTGATTGCAATTGCATTGTCTTTTTAAATCTTGTTTTGTACTTAATTTTTACCATATATTTCAATTTGTGTTTGTTTTTATGTCAAATTATGTAAGGTGACCTTGAGTGTCAAGTAAGGTGGCTACAAATAAAATGTATTATCATTATTATTATTATTATTATTATTATCAGGAGCAGCAGTGTGGAATCCTTGGACTAGACATTTGGACCGATGCCCTGTGATGAGACCAGCGTGGCTTCGACTGGATTTCCCAGTAGTTTCGATGGTTTGGAACCTGCAGCAAGCCAAGCAGACTCCGGGGTCTGGAACCAACCAGCCAGCAGAGTCTGCAGGTGAGTTTTACCTGTCAGGACCAGAGAGAAAATCTTCTGCAGCTGTGAAACATCTGGATCCACCCCAGTGGGCTGAAGGCAGAAACCGCTGGATGAACTCTGAACTCTGGAATCGGCTTCCCTGAACTGGTAGATGAAGGACAAGAGGCAGAAAGTGAAACATTATGGGATGGAAACCTGGAGCCACTGGGTCTCCACAAAACATCTGCATCAGGATCCAGATGTTTCTTGAGCTGATGGTTTCCGGCCTCATGGTCTGGGTTTGAAATTTGGATCTGAACCATCAAATATCTTTGAGACAGACTGAAAATCCATCCTTCTTCAGAAACTTTATTTATAGTTAACACCTTCCGAATCTCTGTGTTAACATGACGGCATTCATGTGATGTATTTATTTGAATGTGCTATAAATTAGAACCAAAACCACTGACTTGGTTTGTCTCAGTTGGAGTCCAGGAGAAAGCTGAGAAACTTTACACATTAAAATAAAATAATTTATCAGTTTGTGAAAAATTCTCTCCAAGATAATGAAAGCACAGAATAAATCAGTTATTTCTGCTCATGGCTCCTGAACTGTAAGATCCTGCTGAGTCTGGTTCTGCTTCAACTGGAGGCCGACCAAAGCAGCCAATCACTTGCAGCCTCCCTGGTCATGTGACCGGCAGGACCTCCAGCTTGTCCTTTAGATGTTGGTGCTGGAGTGTGTGGTGGAGAAGTTGTCCATGCGGAATCGAACCACTCTCCCGTCGGCCGGCGGCGTGAAGAGCAGGTGGCGGGCGAACACCTGGCGGCAGGCTTTGCGGAAGTTCTCGGACAGGAAGGCGTAGAGGATGGGGTTGATGCAGGAGTTCCCGTAGGACAGGCAATGGGACACGATGCGGAGCGCAAAGGTGGCGTCGTTCAGCGGGTAGGTGCCGAACTCCACCCACATGACGATGATGTGGTGCGGCATCCAGCAGATGGTGAAGCCGGTGACAACCAGGAGGATGGTCTGGACCGTCTGGAGAGGAACCACAGGGAACACAAACCAGTTTAACATCACCAGACAGAAACATTAAAACCAGTGAGGGGTGGAGGGAAGGTCCAGTTCCAGAACCAGATTCTGCTGGGAAACCAGATTCTTGGACTCCTTCCAGTTCACCCGTTAAATAACTTTGAACAGTAATTTATAGTTAAATATCTGGTTCATTTCACCAAATTTAATCCCATTCAGTGTCTTAAGGATGTATGCTTGATATGCATTGATTCTGGGAAACCTTAGTTGATTTCACTGCAGAATTATGGATTCAACACTTCCAATGACAAGCAATGAGCAAAGAACTGCGATGCTCTGAGACCTCTGGTGGAGGCAGCTGGTACTGTCCAATGCAGGTCAGAGTCTACAATAAGCTGCTGGATAGTTTGTATCTGTCAGCTTATATCCAGCAATAAGTTGATGCAAAAAGGATCTCCGTTGAAATTGTGTGAAAAGTAGCGATTTTGATATGGCTGAAAAGTCGCCTCATCGAATCTTTCCATCAAAACTTGAGATGTTTCAAAATTGCCAAGTTTTCACTTAACAAATTCATTTTTGTAATTCGAATTTGATACATTTGATGGTCAATGGAAACACAGCGACTGACTACCACAGCAATCAACTAGCGACAGCGGAAACAGAAACCTCGTTTTACAGGAAGAACATTTCAGCAGAACCAGAGTGTCTGAGTGACTGGGGGAGGAGCGGATCAAACAAGAACCACAGAGGGTAGGACAGGTCCAATGAGGCCCTGATGGGGTCCTGATGAGGCCCTGATGGGGTCCTGATGAGGCCTTGATGGGGTCCTGGTGAGGCCCTGATGGGGTCCTGACGATGCACTGATGGGGTCCTGATGAGGCACTGATGGGGTCCCGATGGGGTCCTGATGAGGCCCTGATGAGGAACTGATGGGGTCCTGATGAGGCACTGATTGGGTTCTGGTCAGGCACTGATGGGGTCCTGATGAGGCCCTGATGGGGTCCTGACGATGCACTGATGGGGTCCTGATGAAGTCCTAATGGGGTCCTGATAAGGCACTGATGGGGTCCCGATGGGGCTCTGAAGGGCTCTATCGGGGCCCCCAAGGGCCAGTGACCTCCATCCTCGGAAGGTCACCATCAGGTCTCCTTTTCTAATCCACAGCCAGCCTGCCTCTGGTTTTCTCCAGATTTTTTTCTGTGATCCTGGTTTTCCTTTTGCTGGATGATGACGTGGCTCCAGCTCGTTATGGATCGGTTTTCCAGAACCGTCTTCACTTGGAAACAAACCGAAGCTTATCTGCTGTTTCTCTGCTGGTTCGTTTAAAGCAGCTCTATAAATAACTGGAGCTGCAACAGGCCGGCTCTTTACTCTGGTAACGCTCCATGTTCTACACGTCCATCGTTTCTATACACAGTAACTTTTATACAGTGCTGCGCATCACTGCATGCTGGGGCTATGCCGTGTTCATGATCTCATCAACATGTCAAATATTTTAGATTTTTCCTCATCTGGAAGATAACCGCGCTCCTCCTGAAATGCTACATCAGACGATGTCAGACTGAATTTATTTTAGAATTTTTTTTTCTGTGTTTATGACATGATGATAACCAAAGATCAGCGAAGGTAAACACCAGAGGAGGAAGCTTCTGAGCTTCTAAAGGAAAGGTTTGATTCCAAGGGAGAAATCCCATCTCATTATTTGGGGGTACAATAAACAGGAAAATTTCTTAAGACCAATTTTGGGAGTCGGCAAAGTTACATAGAAATGCAACCTAAAATGTGATTTAAAAGCTTTTTAAACTACATTCAAGCAGCAGGACAAAAAATGACCAGTAATGCACATCAAACATGTTTTTCACGGTAAACAAACTGTTGAGAAGTAAAACTACATTTTAAATGTTGCTCAGATATGAGTTTTGTTAATCTCACTGATCTAATCTCTGCTACATCTTCACAAAAATTTAAGGTTCTAAATAAAAAGTTTTAATGAGTAACTCGTCTTTATTATAATGACTCCCATTTCAAGTTATGGGATATTTAAATTGTAACTTGTTAAGTTGGTTTATTTTTAAACCTCTTTTAGTTTTGTCATGTCCTGGAGAACCAACAAGTAGATAAAAATGAATATCTGGGGAATATCATAAGTTAAATGTAACACCTAAAGCACCGAGGATTTTATTGAAAAATATTCAGATTTCTCTTGTGGCTTTATGACTCTCTGTTGAAGACGATGAGAAATAAAGGGATAACTTTCTGTTTTTTCTGTCCGTCCTTTCTTCCGCTCTCGGCTCCCATACAGAGCTGTGGCTCAGTTTCAATCTCTTCTTGTTAACGAGAGTTAAAGGGCTAAATATGATTAGATAGTTGCTACCTTTAACAAAAAAGCTAAGTCTATTAAGTTGCTAGTTTTGATTTAAGGCATAACAGGCAGTTTATCATGATTCAGCCAAAGTAATGAAATAAACTGCAGTCTGATTTTTATTGTTAATGTGTTTCTTCCTATTGAGCAGTGAAAGTAAATAAAATGTGTTTCATGTCTTTTCCTTTAAGTATTTACTTACTGGAGGGTTTATTTGTGCTGCAGAGCCTCAGCTAACAGCTAACAGCTAGCTCCTCACTTCAGCGGCTCTGACAGAGCCGGTACCGTTCCTGCTGTTGCTCCTCCTACACCATTGTTCTAACCTAAAGATTCATTCTTATTTTTTTCTTAGATAAATGGCAGATTTATTTTGCTCTTTGTATCTTTTGCCTTTTCATGTTGATATTGTTTAAATGCAAATCTTTCTTCTATAATTTTTTTGGGTGGGCAATTGTAGAGTTTTTCAAGATTTGGGGGGCGCGGACCTCTGGACCCTTCTTGGATTTCTGCCCATGTTTGATTCCTCTAGTTTACTGAAAGTATGCTTCTGTTTTAACTCAACTGTAGTTTATGAACAAAGACAAATGAAGTAGCTTCATTCACAGCAGTCAGCCAGTTAGAGATTAGCTATCAGTCTTCCCTAACCCTTCCTGTCTAGCAGCGGGTCAGTTTGAGAATAAATCCCTGAGAGGATATCCCTCCTCTTTGGACTGAAGCTGACTGGACCCAGACTGCTTTGCTGCTCCTTAGTTCTCTGCCAGCAGCTTCTCAGCTTTCTATGACGTTGAACATATGTTGTCAGGTTCTTCTTCATCCATTCATATGTCCTCCATAAAATATGCTCTTCATCATAAACCCAACTCCTGTTTCTAATTATATCCTCAGCTCCCTCCACATCCAAACCACTAATGTTCCTGCTCGTCTTTCACAAGCTGTCTTGAAACATCCTGTCTTCTGTCAGAGAGATTTCAACACAAATGTTCCTGTGAGGTTGTGAAGAGTCCTTCTGATCACCGGAAATTTATGGCATTAATTAAACATCTCCAATAAGAAGCTGGTCCTTGCAGACCAATGCAGCTGAAGATGGGTCCTACCCCAAAGTCGAACATTCAGAACAGCCGGAAGCACCAAGCAGTTCTCCGACCTGATGAATATCTGCACAAGGATCCCATCACCCAAAACAAGAAAAAGCTATTCTACTGCAGAGTTTCCATTTCCAGGAGAGAAAAAGAGGCAGAAGATACGAAGATCATCCAACCACCAGTTATCCAACATCTTTATCCCCATGCTGGGATCGCAAAGGCTGATCTCCAGGTTCCATCCACCATCCATCCATGATGGACGGATGATGGATGGATGATCCACCATCCATCCATCTGTCCATCCTCCATCCATTTCTCAGACGTTGTCGGTGAACAGAACCAATCTACTGATTGTTTTGTTGGTTCCGGTTCTCTGAACTCAGCAGCCGGTTGGATCTGATGGATCCGGTTTATGTTTCTGACAGGAAATGGTTTCTGTGAATTAGAAAGTTCAACTACCTGCAGACTGGATGGTCCATGTCAAAGGTTCTGTTCTGACCTGCCGGTCCGGTGTGCTGATGGTTTGGGTCATAGAGTCAACAGATTTCTGGGTCAGAGCCGTTTCCAGCAGCTCATCATTTCTCCTTAAGGGATTCCTTAATAAATCTGCTTTATGACTTCATGTGTTTGTTCTGGTGACTCAGCAGATTTAATAACGCCTCTTATCAGTCTGAGCAGATCAATAAAGTAGAACCGGGTTGTTCCAGAAACCGGACCGAACCTGGCCTGGCCAGCCGCTCTGGGCGAATCCATGCCAAGACTTCAGGCCGCCAGAGGAACCTCCTCTATTCTTAGACGCTGTCTAAATATTTACCCAGCAGCCTTTGTTCCTCTGCAGCGCCGCGCAGCAGAACCTGTAAACGACCCGGTTCTGCTGCTGCAGGATGCCTGCTCTCTGTCGCCTGCCAGCCGGGCCGGGACCACAATCAGAGCCAGAACCAGAACCTGTACCTGGACCAGGACCTCACTGGATATGGTACTGCTGGTAGCACTGTGTCTAAACCGGACCGGCTTGGACCCAGAAACCTGCAGAGGTGTTGAGATCAAATGTCTTAACGGTAGAAGCACATCATCATCAGCCTCCTCTTCATCACTAGCCCAGATGACAAACCCAGAAGAATTCTGATGAAGTGATTCCTTCTATCAACTTTTCTTCTCGCTGGGATTAGTCACTGACCTGAGGAGGAAGAGAAGGAGGAAGAGAAAGAGGAGGAATAGAAGGAGTAGTTCACCTTTCGTTTGGACAGCTCGGACCTCTTGGACATGTTCTTCATCTTTTTATGCAGGTGGCACAAAACCTGGAAGACAGCAGACCTGGGATCAGTCAGCAAAGCTTTAGGTCGGAGGTTCTGGTCTGGCAGAGGGCGAATCCGTTTCCAGAACCTTCTTCACAACACCTGAACGCTTCAAAAGGTTCTTCAGTTCATATCCAGATTTTCACCTTAATTAGCACCATTGTCACAAAACAGCTTGTTGCCTTGGAGACCAACATGATGTCAGCAGACATCAACCGGCTTCATGTAGAAATATTTATTTAGTCAGTAAACAGGAAGGCTTGATGTCGTTTCCTGTTCTGCAGCTGAATCTGGGAAAAACCAGACATTCCCTACTGGTTCCCATCTGATTCTCAACTGGATCCCATCTGGTTCCCATCTGGTTCCCCTCTGCTTCCCATCTGGTTCCCCTCTGGTTCCCTACTGGTTCCCATCTGGTTCCCCTCTGGTTCCCAACTGGTTCCCACCTGGATCCCATCTAGTTCCCATCTGGTTCCCCTCTGGTTTCCTACTGGATCCCATCTGGTTCCCTACTGGTTACCATCTGGTTCCTGTCTAGTTCCCATCTGGTTTCCTACTGGATCCCATTTGGTTCCCATCTAATTCCCATCTGGTTCCCATTTGGATCCCATCTGGTTCCCATCTAGTTCCCCACTGGTTCCCACCTGGATCCCATCTAGTTCCCATCTGGTTCCCATCTACTTCCCCACTGGTTCCTTACTGGATTCCATCTGGTTCCCTACTGGTTCCCAACCAGTGGGAACCAGTAGTAATAATAAAGGTGACTGGTCCAGAGGTTGGTTCCTGTCTCCTTCCTGTCGGCAGCTGGCCAGTAGGGGACGCTACAGGCAGCTTGCTGACAGTCAGACTAGAGAAAAGGTCAGACCCAAAACCTGACTTCATGCTCCCCGATGGATCTATTGATCATCTATTGATCAGCATCGGTCTGCTCATGTCTATCTCAGACATGAATACGTCACCTCCATTTGAATGCGGCAGTAGAGCGATGGGAGCTCCATACTTCATGTGCTTGTTGTTTCAATCGTTTTATAGTAAAAACTGGACCCATTAGCATTACATTTCACAGAAAAGACTGAAAGAAAAACAACGTAATTTTATGAGCTGAATTTCTTGACTTTGCGGCTAGAATCTAATCTAGCTTCTACACAACCAAGAAATATTTCCCACATAAATAACGGCCATAGTAACCACTCTGGTTATAATTTTGTTAGCTTCGCTAACTTTCATACTGTGTAGTTTTTCTAATGAGAGCGAGCTGATGAGAACCCGCTGTTAGAAGGGAAACGATGCATTCCAGACCAGAGGGTTTTAGCAGGTCAGTCAGGATCAGAGCTGTCTGTTTTTCTCCGGCCTTCTGTTTCACAGCTCGGCTTCAAAATGTCGATGTTTAACAATGTTGTAAAGATGCTGCAAGTCAATGCCCCAATATGTTAAAAATGTATGTTTTCAAAATGTGAAGGAATCAGAGTTTAATTTTCTATTAGTGAACAAAATATGTATTTGCTCAAGTGTACCAATGAAACAATATGCTTTTAAAGATATTGTGTATATTTTAAAATATATCAAAATGTATTTTTAAAAAATTCACTTAACACTTACTTTAAATATACTGAGTATGTTTTAAATTACATCTCAGTGTATACTTTAGGTTAATGAAGTGCCTTTTTAGGTGCCTTAATGATCTTTTATTATTTTTGTTAAAATGGCAACGAATAAAAAGAAAATAATAATCCTTATAGTGGAACTTGATGTAATGTTGTTTAATAAACTAAATAATGTGTTCATACCTCAAAACATCAAACATTGACAGTTTAGTGACAAAAAATAATATTTGTCCTTAACACTAAATGGAGCAGGTATCTTCAGTTTTACATCTCTCCAAATATGATCTGTTGTTTTCAGTTTTTTCAACTAGAACACAGAAGCTGTCTTTACCCAATCTATTTTCAGATGTATGATGGAACTTATTTCCATCATACATCAAGAACCTGGAAAATCTTCCTCTGAAGCAAGTTGCCAACAGAACCGTCCTGGGAGCCCTGCAGAATAAACGCAGGAGCAAAGTTCAGAACCAGCGTGGCGGAAAGCAGGAGTCATCTCAGCCTTTTTTCTGCAAAAATGAAGATGTTGCAAGGAGCAACGTAGAGAGGCCACCTACCAAGCAACCTGCTTTCTGGCATGATGCATGATTAGTGTCATGATGTGTGGTGGTGAGGTAGATGTGGTGGACCCAGGTATGAAGAGTAAATGATGATTTAATAGTAATAAACACACATAATCCAGGTAGCAAAGGCGAGCAAAGACTCACACTGGTAGCAACTGACAGGAAACACAACTAACGACTGGATAGACAAGGACCCGACAAGGAAACAAGAGACAAAAGGTGGATTTAAATACACAGAGGGTAATCAGGGAACACAAGACTCAGCTGGGAGCAATCAAGGGCAACACGGAGACTCAACAGAACACAGAAACCTGAATTAACACACAGAAAAAAAACAAATCTTCACAATTGGTGAACGGCATTAGGTCCAGTTCACACTCCAGACCAGATGGTGGTGGTAATGCACACTTTTATGGCGCTTTTTTGAAAAGCGCCATAAAAAGAAGAAAAGGCATGAAGCCAGAGAAGATAACTGACGCTGTTCAAATTCATCATTTTTAGAGAGGTCCTTGATAATAGTTAGTAGTTTTGGTAAATTCAAGCTGGTAACATCCTAGTCTGAGTTAGACAACAACACAAGACAAGAACCGTATGGAAATGAAACATGGAACGAAGGCTTCCTTTCTTGGCTCTAGTGGCCTTTATTTGAC